AAATATGCACATGGTCGTCCACATGTGTTGGTGACAATATGAAAATTTTGAGGAAATTTTGGGAGATCCTTGTTGGTTCTTGTACGTTTTTACCCGAGCTCGCATAGACATTTCCATACAAGTGAGGAAATTTCAGAGCTCAGTTGAGGAAAGCCTTCATATTTTCCAACACTGATGTGAGATGAGGTATGAAGACCCTTCCCTATATGCCCACCTCCGTTGCCACCACGATATCCTCCGCCACCTCGAGAGCCTCCCCATCTGCCATTACTTGATCCGCCATACCCACCACTACTCTGGGAAGCGATCTTCTCCAACTCTGGAGGTACCTAATAACAATCGTAAGGTCTCCGGATCGAATCTCAGAGAGGTACACTCTACTAGCTGCTAAGCTTAAAATTAGGGACACCGACACAATGAGACCAGGCAGGTTCTATCCCGGCATCTGGTATTATTACCGCTTGCTCAGCCTCTCTAAGGACACCGATAAGATCTTTCGCTAACTTATACTTATCAGGAGTAAAGAAGGAATAGGCGCTTCCCTTCGCTCCGGCACGACCGGTTCGACCTAAAAATAGAATACTCCACCTGGGATTCGAACCGGGGACCTTTCGATTACCCACGCCTTACCAATGCGATGGACGTAATCCTCTATTTGGCCTGGGAAATCGTAGTTGATAACGTGACGAAGATCCTTCACATCCAGTCCACGACTGGCGACATCAGTAGCGATCATAATCGGACTCTTGCCCGACTTGAACTCTTGTAAAACCCAATCTCGTTCTTCTTGCTTCTTGTCACCATGGATGGACAATGCTGGCCAACCGTCCATTCTGAAAATACCGTCAATAAAAGATACTCATCTGCGCACAGCGAAGATTTTATCATCCACGCCACCACCTACCTGAGCATCCTCGTAAGATCATCAGCGGCTCGCTTAGTGTCAGTAAAAATGACAATTTTGGATCCGTCCATAATTCGCTCCAAAAAGTTGCTTCAACTTGTCC